CTCCCCTAAATATCTAATCAATTTTACATGTTCAATTTAAGGTTCAGAAAAATAAAAAATTCTGTTTAATAAAAATAATAAATAAAAAATGAAAAAAAAAAAAATTTAAATTTTAAGCAATTTTCGCGCAAGTCTAGACATATCGAGAAATTCGCGGATTTTCGGAAAAAAGATGACAATTTCGCGGAACTATCGCGGAAATTCGCGCCGCGTCAAACCTGCAGCCCTAAATTTATTGTACCTATTTACACATCTGATATTGCTATTTAAACAAGTGTTTCCCATGTATTCTTTTACGGTAAATTAAATGAGACTATACACAAGTCAATAGAACAAATAGTTCAAAAGTTGCATGTGTTTTTATGCATAATCAGTACTTCTTTTGACACGGACTTATGTATACAATTTACATAGATATCCAAGAACTATCTGAACATATAAAGCAAATTTTCCACGCTAAATTGTATGAGACCAATCCCGAGACGATCGGACTAATGGTTTAGAAGTTATAAGTGTACAGAAAATACAATTTTGTACAAGTACTTATTTACACAACTTACACTGCTAAACAGACAAGTGAGGTATTGTTTCCAATATTTATATATATATATATAACATTTAATCGAATGAGACCAAAAACAAATAAAAAAACGCTAATATTTCACAAATTGAAAGTTTTTTTTATAGGTATAAAATGTTCTATTTTTGAATCACACTTATTGTGAAGAAAACCATGTAACTCCAAAACTATTTACTTTATCTACTCCAATTTTATCTCATTCAATGCTGTAAAAAAATCGTGAAATACACCTTATATGTGCAGATAGTCCCTAGATATCAAAGAAAAACGTGTGCAAAACAATGACAAAAATAGCACTTTTTATGCATAGAACCGCTTTCAACTTTTAAACTGTTCACCCTATTAATCCGTGTATAATCTCATTTGACTCAGCGTAAAATAATACATAGGAAACAATGTCCCACTTATTTACAACATCAGATGCGTAAATAGGTACAAGCACAAATTTGTACATAAAGCCTTCATAATTATTAAACTATAAGTTCCATTTTCTAAGGATTTCCTAAGGATCCATTTTCTAAGGAAATTAAAAAATCATCTGCGAATGTCCCATTCAACTCCAGGACGGGGAAAATTTAATATGGCTCCCAGAGGATAAATGGTATGAAGGTTGATGTAGATTTTCCATTAATTTAACAACAGAAAACTCGCATTTAAAAGTAACTTAAGTATTAAATTAGAGTTTTAATCAAGTAAAGAGACTTTCATTAGTTTTCTATGTTATTTATACATGTTCTAATAATTTTTTGGATGCCTACTAGAAAAAATTCACTAAAAAATTTCACCTTAAATCTTTTGACACAAAGTACGCATAAGCTTTATTTTATGCGTTATGTGCTAAATTCACTGAGCATTTTCTGTTGAATCCTGGAAAAGTTTCGGTTCAGAGTCCCTGAGCTATTACAGTTTCGATTGTCATTTACAATTTCTTTCATTTTAAGAAACATTTTCGATTACATAAAAATGTCTAATAAACTTCTAGGCAAGATGACAAGTAAATTTTTTAAGGGACAGTAAAATATTATTGATATTTCTACTAATGAGCAAAGAAATTAAAGTAGGAATAGAATTTGAGATGAAAACAATTGTTCTATTTATCCTCCATTTCTCAAACTCATTCGATTAATTTACAATATTGATTTTAAAACTACATGAATAATAAATTAGCGTTTTTTTAAAATAAGTAGGAAAGCGAACAAAAAACTTGTGTAACAGCTAACACTTTTAATGAAAAATGCTTTTTAATTTTGTTAGTACTTATTACTAATTTATAACTGTATGCTGCATCAGGAAAATAGCCAAACTACTGCATTAGGAAAAGAACAAACGTTAAATGTAAAATATTACAAAGAAAACATTTCATGATGTTATTTCAAGGTTTGATTTTTTTTAATAAAAAATTTGCCATCTACTGAAGTATTTTTGCCTGTAGGATTTATCTTTTTCAGATAGGTACGTGTCCCACGGCCCTGAGTAACATTAGCAATTTTTTTTTCTCTTATTTCATTTGATTTCTCTATTATTCTAACACCAGACTTGATTGTTTTTCATTGAGTTCGTAATAACAGTTGCGTTTAGAGCAGTATAACCGATTTCATCTCTTGTAATATACTTTACATTTAGCCAAATCATGATTTTTATAATATAGATATCGATGCATGAAAATTTTATGAGAATTTTAAAGAAGATGAATATATCATAGGTTCAGATCTGCATAATTCTCTTATTTTATAATGAAATATTTAATTCGTAAGAAAAACATAATTTCCAGAAAAAAGTAATACTGATGAACAATTGTTTTTGAAACATTGGAATTTCCACAAAAATAGCTTTTGTTTCAATTATAAGTTTTAATAAAAATATCAAAATAGATGTTATATAAAAAGTGTTTATTTTAAACAATGTTTTTCAATGGCTTTCATCTCTTTTTTTTTTATTTTTTGTCTATTTCTCTCAATGTGGTTATTAGAAAAAAATAATGAATTGCACATAATAAAATTTTTTCTTACAATAATTACATTCCAAATCAAAACTTTCATGCAATTTCCAATGTAAAAATTTATGATCAAAATTTAGGGTGGCATTCATATAAGAGAAAACATTTTATTTTTAAACTTCATCATAATGCAAAATTTCTTTGCAACCTTATTTCAATGAAAATAATACTGACTTTAAAATGATTTGTTTCATTTTATTTATTAACTTCATTTTCACTGTTTTAATTAACTCACATGTTTTAATTCCATACACATTACCTAAAAGTATTTAAATCAGAGCAGATTTTCAGTTGTCAACCAGAAAATTTTTTTAATTTTCTTAATCAGAAATTTAGAGTTATTGCCTCTGTAAAATTTAGTATCTTTTTATTTTTAATAACAGTTGTAACAAATATAACAATGAAACGATTATAAAAATTAAAAGAATTAATTTATGAAATATATTGGCACTTAATCATTAAAATCCAATCCAGTTTCAGCATTTACATGCATCACATAACTGAATAAAATCGATACTTGCCTCCAAATAAATAAAATTCTTTGAAAGTGTTTTTTGAATTTATTAAAAAACTCATTTAAAATAAATAAAAATATTTTCACAACAAAGTGTCACAATTAAAATATAGAATTTAATTTATTAATAAAAATTGAATAAAATGTAATAAAAGGAAAATACATTAATGTATCAAAAAATATTTCCTTAAATTAAAATAAAAATATATTTAAATAATATACTAAAGGTTCTGAAGACAACCAGAAAGTTTGAACAAAATTTGAGAGCATCTTAGTAAAAGTTTACTGGCTGAATGTCGAAAAAGTGTGTTATTTGAATGTCACCTCCTATTTAAACTTATTTATAAGTTATGACCACTCTTAGAGCACCCTCCATCCACCAGTTCATCTTGTTTCAGTCCTCAAAAGGCATCCCTAAAATTCCAAGAAATTTTCCCTTTGTCCCATTTTTACACCAAATTCTAATAAACAAGCTATTTTCTCTTCTAACCTATAGATATCCCTCATAGCTATCAAGATAAGTATAGAAAAAGCAGGGTAATTTGAAGTTGTGAACATTTTCCCCTAGTAAGAAAGAATTGGTTAACCTAGTAAGTAATGATGTGGAGGGATACCTTGGATTTGGTAAAATGATTTTTAAGGTGTATATTTACCTAAAAAAAGCTTTAATAATGGAAATTTTCCTTGAATATATTTTTTAAAGAATGAGTTTGAGAAAATATTAAAAATTTACATTTACAATGGGGGTGTTTGATTAATCACACCCTTACCTACGTCCTTGAAAAGAGGCATTAAATTCTTCGAAAACCTGGTTTATTCGAGGTGGTTCAAGAAATAGCCACCTAGAACCTTCTCGATGGTTTATGCTCCAGCAGGGGTAAAAATGAATTGAGATAAACTTCTAGAAAAAATAGTGTGCACCTTGGTGACAGCAACTAAGCAGACTGGTAATAGGATGAAAAAAGCGATAGTTTGAAAGGTTAAATTATAAGTAAGATGGAGGTTATTCTGTAATGACCACTCTTATTTATTTTTTAATCCTTTTAAAAAATAAAGTTAAATTTGTCCATTAGTGGACACAAATTAATATTAACTGAGAAAAAATAACATTTTCAAACTCTGACTAATCATTAAGATAATAAGAAACAAATGAAGGATAAGAATCATAAAAAATCCCATTTTAATTGCTTAGTGGGTCAAGAATGCATTTATCTTTAATTAAGAACCACCTTTAAGTATCAACCTAAACTAACTTAGATTATTTAAATCCCTCCTTTACTTTTACATTGACCTCATTCATGATTGGATAAAGTTTGAAAATGTTCTTATTTTTTCTCACTTAAATATCAACTTGTAACCCCTAATATGTATAGTTTTTCTATTTAATTTTTACAAGGATTTAAAGTGTTGTCAACTTGGAATGCCCCTTGCGTATGCATATATAAATGTAAAATTTCTTTTTCATTCGTAAAATTTCTTTTTACATTTTGAATACATTTGTAATGAGTATAAATAATAGTATGAAAAGTTTCTTACAATTTTAGCAAGACCTGCTCTTTCAAGTTAGTCTTAATTAACAATAATTCTGCTCTATCCCCTATTCTTAGCATAACGTTTTAAAATGCATCACTTTAAGTATAATTTGATTGAACTATTTAATATGTTTAATACTTTTTTCTTTTAAAATAATATCACAAGTACATACAAATGTAGTGTTAAAATTAAATGTACATTTAAGATTTAATTTTTTGGATTGTCCTTTAAGTAATAAAATATTAAAATTATTAATATTAAAATTTGCTTATTGAAACTTAAAAAAGTTCTTAAAATAAGTTAAATTTTGTGTTGTTAAAAGCTTAACTGTTACATTATTTATTAAAGTTAATAAAATTAAAAGGATAAAACAAATATGAAGCTGTAGAAATAACAAAATATTTTTATTAAAGAACAATAACCATTAAAATGAAAACTGAGCAAATATGCTGGATAACAAATTTATAGACGAAGTAACAAATCAATGTAACTGGGCAACAAAACAATGTTATGCTCTGATAAAAATACAGAATCTTTGTTTTGGAGTTATATTAAACTTGAAAATATTTTAATTTTAATTATGCAAAACTGATGTGTTTAGAGAAGTCACAACAGCAGCTACAAGACCTGCTCCTTTACCACTACCGTCTTCAGCAAGAATAAGTTGAAACTAAAAGAAAGAAAACCTTACAATTCTTAGTAAGTTAAAATTAGTTCATAAGTTAGTCAGTTTTTTAAAGATTGCCATGAAAAGTTTTGAAATAAGAAATTTAAAGAAACATTAAAATATAATTTTGAAAACTAAATTTTTTTTAAAACTTTTTTTTACATTTATTATACTACATTGCAAGAATGAAAAGAGCATGTCACCATAACAATCTAAATTTGAATCATATAATGCTTTCTGTCAGCATAGTTATTGAATAAAAGAAAGAGTTTCAATAAGCAAACTTTTTGCCTGTTATATCAGATGAAATATTTTGGGTTTTAGCACAATCACAAAATTTACAAATCTATTTATTAGTTCTAAATAGATCTACAGCCAAAAACAAGTTACATAAATTGTCATATGACAGACCCACACTGCAACACTAATATTTATTTTTGTTTGAGGACAAGATGAATCAAAGACATTTACAAAAAATATTAGATTGTTCACTGTTTTTTTCTACAAGAATGTGTTTAGTGAAGCATTTTTAAAATCTTCTACTTAATTGTTTGTAAAAAGTTTCTTCCTCATTTAAAATTAGATTAATGCAATATAATTTCAACATTCTGCATCTTGCATACAATTTAAAAATCAATTACAAAATTTTATGATACTAGTTCCCATTTTTAAAACTTTCACTCCTTGTGATAATTAATCAAAACTGTAATTAATAAAATTTTGTAAACAATTAAATTTCAACTATTCAATTTTACAATGAAGAGCAAAATTTAACAAACAAAAAAAATATTTAAACAAAAAAAAAATAAAAATAGAGCTCAGCTCATACTAAAAAAAAAAAAGACATATTTTTAAAAAAAGGCCAAATTTTTTTGTAATTTAAAAGGGTGCTTAATTTGAAAGAAATTTATCATTCTGTTAATACACATTACAAATTTATTCAAAGTATTTAAAGAAAAAAAATTAAGAAAATGTGTTCTAAAAAACACACTAAATAACAAATCTATACTTTTTTTGTCATTTAAATGAAGCTTTTATGATTCTGAATAAAGGCTCTTGATTCATGAATCAAAACCGTCCATTACATACCAGTTTTGTAAGAGATCTACTGCTCATAATTATACCAATAATTACAAAGAAATGAAACAGAGGCTTAAATATAGAAAATTTTAACAATAAAATAATTTTTTTGGATGATATTGTTGTTTTCTGTTGGTGTGTCCCTGATAACAGATTGGTAATATTCAGCTAGCATACTTCTATTCTATCACACCCATTACAAAGAAATGCTTTTAAAACAGACATGTCCTAGTAATCACTAACTCTACCAAGATCTTAAAGAAAGAAATCTAAATGTGAGTCCAAGAAGTGTATTTTAACGACCTAATGCAACCTATGACACAAAAGCATTTCACCAAGTCACCAACAAGATTTTCATAGTTCAAACATCATTCGCTTCCTTATTTTTGGTGTCTCATTTCAGCTTCAGCCACTGGGGCTAATATTAACACAGTGAAGCATGATATATTTTTTCAAGTCAAGGTTGGAAATTTAAATCAAAGATTTTAAAAAACTATTAAGTAATTTTATTTGGATGCTTTCTTGAGAATGGATTCTACATAATTTAATAGCTTTTGATTCATTTACATTCTAGATTGTATAAACTTTATTAGCAATGTATCTTATAAAAGTTTGGACTATAATTGAAAAGTTAAGAAAATTTCTAGCGGAAAATTAGTAGTCATTCTATATGCAAAGATACATAGCCAACTAATCCATATTGTTCTAAGTGTTGCATTAAATTTTCCATTTTTTTTCAAATTCAACTAATTTAATTCTGCACCTTGTAAACTTTAAAACCAAACTATTTTAATTACTACAATAAATTGTACTTACCTTATGTTTTGGTGCCAAGGCAGCTATAAATAAGTTCATGTAATGAGCATATTTTGGATGAAGTTTAAATAATGATCCATCAATGGCAATGGTTACATCTTCCTTGTTCATTCTCCTCAAACAATTTGCAAGACCTAGAACAAAAAACAAAAGCAGTCTAACATTAGTTCTAACCTAATTATTAGTTTAATAAAAAAAAAAAAAAATTAAAGATATATCATGACTTATAGGTCTCTCATTTATCAGTTTAAAACAAAAATATGGATAGTATATTGTAATCTAAATATGAACATAATTGCTTTTTAAAACAGAAGATTTATTAAAATTAACTATAATGTTTTGATACTAAAAATCATTAAAGTAAAGATAAGTAAAAAACTATCTGTCTAAAAAAAACAATTTTTCTAACTATTTTATACATTATAAAGTAATCGATGCATAAAATAATTCAAAAAATTTATTAAAACTCATTTATGTCTGAGCTTGCATTAAAATCTTCTAATCTATTTTTCAAAGTAATATTAACTACGAGTAATGGGCTAATAATTTATTCTTTGATAAAAAAATAAAAAAAAAATATTTAATAATGCAAAATTTCTAATCAACAATCTTCAATCAACAATCTACATTGAAATTTGTTATATATAACATACAAGTAAGATATTATGTATTAAACATTTTTCAAAACTTGATACTATATGAAACTAAATGTATACATCAACTGTTAACTGCAGTTACAAAAATAAATTATTTTTAACTTTCAATAACATTTGAGTTCTACAGGAAACAAAAGCATCCAGATATATTTTCTTCATTTTCCATTTTTTTTTTCTAAACTAGAAAGCAGTTTGAAAGGTTTTGCATAGTTATACTATTCCAACAAAATTTTAACATTTAATATTTACTTGATTATATATTTTAAAGAGCAGCAGTTTTCAAAAAAAATATGCAATTCAAACTACTTATAAAATTTGAAACTCTGAAAAAATTAAAGTTTATTTAATTACAGCTATATATTATAGAACTTTGTTTATACAATTATGCCATTTTGCTCTCCCTTCTCTCTTTATGCACAATTTACATAAAAAAAATTCCTGTTTTAAAAATAGGTAAGGTAATGAATTTAAAACATAAACCAGGTTCTTTTTACAATCTATTGTTAGAATAAGTTTTGCAAAATGAGACTAAAATTTTGTGCATGAACAGAGCAAAATCTAAAATTTCAAGTTTTCTTCCTTACAAAGAAAAGCTTCAATGAAAGTTCTCTCTTTTGCAAATGGCTTTTAAGCCGGGCTCCAAGAAGTCAAATTAAAATTTATCACTGTTCTCTCATATTTAACCTAATGCTTACAGTAGATACAGCTTATGGATCAGAATCACAGGTGTTAAATGTGTTAAATGAGTTACATGTTGGGTTACATGTGTTAAATGAGTTACAGTTACAGAACAATAATTAGCATCAATACAGTAAAATTGTTTCATAGTTTAAGTTAAAAAGTTACATTAGGTACAACTATGTATTTGTTAGTTTATGTAATATAAACATGAAACACATATAATACATGAAACAAATACATAAATTAAAAAATAAATTTACAACATAATAAAATATCGACAATCTGTAAAATCTATAAAATAACTTAAACCTATTATTGAATCTAATTTTGATAATTGGACAGTAAAATTATCAAAGCAATATAAGCCAAAATCAGAGATCATATACTTTTAAATTTAAACTCAGATGATGAAGATTTTAACATGCACATAACATGCTTGCAACTTACAAATAGAAACAAGAAGTGCTCCACGAATTGAAATAATAGTACAGACATAATGCAGAATTTCTGCATCCTCTTCTGAAATATCATTAAATCCTTTGCTTTTCATGATATCCAAAATGACTTGTTTACTTGTTTCCCTGCACATAAAAAATATTGCTAATAAATTTATGACATTTTACATTATGAAAGTGACAATCACACTAATAAAATTAATTTCTAAATTTATAATTAGTTTTTAAGAAAACAGCTCTGCAAAAATAAATCAGAACATTCTTATTGTGAAGTTAAAACACATAAAACCAGAGATGTATATCTTGCACCAAACACAAAATCAAAAAAATATTCAGGATTATGGCCCTTCACCTGAATGTATTAAGCTAGCACAAGTTGTTGTAAGAAAAATTGACTACTACATTTGTTTCACAAAAGAATCTACAAGGTATGATCATGCTATTGAATAAGTATGCATGCATCATTGTAACTTAATTTTTGAGATAGATTTAAGCAAGAAACCATTCCAAGAATTAGTTAGTAAACATTTCTAGATATTGAACAACGTTTATTATTTAGACAAAAATGTTCAGTATACGATAGTGTGGCTAAATGAACAACTAGTCAAATTTTCCTTTTGTAACATAACTAAGTTAACAGTTAACCAAGCTTAAGGCCAAAACATAAATATTTTCCTCCTAAAAGTTTTTTTTTTGCTCTGAATTTAAAAAAAAACCCAGTTCGAAAGTGTGTAAAGAAGTTTTCTCTTCTTCAAAGATGTTTACATAGTGGAACCAGTTTAACCTCGTTCTTTACTTTGAAGATCACCTTATTTATAAGGCAAACAAACATTCAAAATGAAACAGTTAAGTAATTGTGCCCCATTTGCACTGTCAATTTCTTATGAAATTAACAGTAATGGATGTAAAATTTTTGAAGATTTTCAAAGGCATTCATTCTAATTAAAAGCCAAATTAAGTTTGTTAACCAAGGAAGAAAAATTCAGTCAACAAATAACTTCATTTTTCCTTTAATTGATATTCAATAAGAAATGTTTAGAGAATCCTTTTTGTTTTTAGAAACCCAAGGCATCCTCCCTAGTTTTTTGACACCTCATGGGAAAAAAACAAACAAATTTTTAACAAAAATAACCCAAAAAATTATTAATAAATATTAGACTTCTCTCATAATCTCCCCAATAAAATATCAAAGAAAATTTATTTGAACTATGTTATTGAAGTTAATTACATACAGCTAGACATAAAAAAGAAAAACTCATCAAAGTTGATTTATAATTTTCGAGATATTTGTGCCAAAAATTTGTATATAATGTTAGAATTAGTAGCAATGAAAAAGATGGGGAGAGAGTATTTTGTATAAAATCAACAAAACAATTAAGAGTTATTTTTACACCAAGTATTCATTTAATATTTAGTCTAGGCTAAATAATATGACTCTTAATAACAGCCCTTCTTCTAATATGCTATTACATGAAGAAGTCTCTTTTGAAATTCTAGAAGAGCAAAGTCAAAAGTTTGTATGTGACCATTTATTTCAATATAATTTTTTTTATTCCCTAGAAAATCACTTCACAAACAAGTGATTTTCAACAAGTGACCTGGAAGCAAGCACATTTGTGAAACATTAAAAGTAGAATATTGCAAGAGTGAAAAAATACTTAGGTGATTATTCTACAATTAACATATGCATCTTTCTTGCTACATCAAAAATTTTCACCAATCCCTTGTTTTTATTATTATTTCTGAATTCAAAAAAACATATTTAATCTATCTACTTTCCAATAAATATTTAATTTTTTATGTTTTAATGCAATGCAAAAAAACTAGAAAAGTTACATCTTTAAAAAGCATAGTAATTGTCACTAACTCTAAAGTGTTAGAAACATCTGCTGCAGTAAATATCCAGTCTTTGGGTAAGTCCTTTCTTAATCCAAACAAAACACCTTTTTCAATAAGTTTACATATAACTTTTTTTGCAATACTACCGATATACCTTCCAGCAAAGAGTTTCTCAAATCTGAAATAAAATTGGAAGAATTAAAATCATATTATTTAAAACAAATTTAAAATATTCTGAAATTTTACAGTGGACAAGAATGCACAATGGATGCTTAAGAAATCCAGTTTAATGTGATAAAATATTCTATTCAACTGTATTATAGCACACAGGTTAAAAAAAAAGAAGAAAAAAAGATAGTTGATAAATGTTTGAAATAAAACTAAATTATCATTAAGTTTAAACCTTATCAATGAACTACAAGTTAATATAAAAATTGAGGACAAAAAATGGTTTATTTTACCAATCAACAAGTTTAATTTTGGAAGGAAGATGATATTCTGTGAATCTGGTAATCTCAAGATATAAGCAGTAGTATAGTTAGTATTAGAAAAAATAAGAAGTTATTGGTTTAGGTTTGTTTTTTTTACGTTAATACAAAAATAAATTCTAGCTGATTTGAAAAAAAAAAAAATTTTGTAAGTAACTTTGTTTACGAAAAATACCTTATAAAAATGTTAGTAGCTTATTCAGTTTGCTTTCTAAAAATAAGCCTTCAATCTTATTGTACATTTTTGTTATGAATCTCAAAGCTTCCTTTTTTAATTTGAAAAGTTTAAATTTAATATATTTCACCCATAACAAATTACATGTTTTTTTCTCCTTTTGTTGTTGTAACTTAATACTTTTCCTAAAAAGTTACATTTATTAATTGTCATTAATAAAAAAGTAACATGTGTTTCTGAACTTTACAAAAACTATTTATATAATAATGAATATAATAATGTACTGGAATATAGTAATGAGTATAGTAATGAATATAATACTAATTTATATAATAATGAAATCCTTCAAATCCACTAGCTTGAAAAAAAAACTATATTGCATTCTAATTGAAACTGTGTTGCCTGATTTTTACATCTATTTTGAAAAAAATTCATTTTCTTTTTTACAAAATTCATATAAAAGCTAAGAAGTAATATTTTATTAAGTTAACAGGGTTCCGACTCAGATTTCAGAAATAAAATTTTTTGACTTTTTCAGGTATTTTAAGAAATATTTAATGTTATTGCAGGCCATATTTTCCCCATACAATGTAGTTTTTTATAGGAAAAACATAATTCCTTTTTATTTTAATGTCAAACATTAGGCTTTGAGAGCAAGAAAATATCACTAAATGATGAAAAAGCTTTACTGAAATGCATAATTTGTACAAGGAATAATTGCAGTAGCAGCCAGAATTGTTTAACTTGAATCTTAATAAATTACTGTTACTGACAAATATAAGACTGGTTATTTTCTAGGTATGATATAGAAATTCCAGGTATTTCCTGTTCTTCTTGACTAGTAAGAGCTGTAAAATAAATACTAAATATTCATAATAAAGACACTTTCAAGAGGTTAATAAAAATTTAGGGTGCAACAAATAAAATGCTTTTAAACCAGCAGGACACACATTAAAGAAACAAATTTGTACTGAAAAATAAAATATTTGTTAATACTTTTCAATTATTTATTGATTCTTAAGATAAACTTAGAATTTTAACTATGAATAAAAAAAATGAAACAATGTCAAAGAGAAAATAAATAAATAACATTATAAAATCTGTTCAAAAATATTAAATTTAATCAAACATTTTTGATGATTTCATCATTTTTTCAACTTAAGCATTGGCAATTGCTTTTCCATAACTAGCAATATAATTTAATTAATTTGGATCACATTCCATTCTTCCAACACATTTTACTTCATCTACTCGTCAGCTGAAAAAAACCATTTTTAAAAATTTCTCAGTAAATAATACAGAAAGAAATAAGCAATTATTATTCTACTTTAGTAATTATTATTCCCTTTTTCATTTACCACTATTACTTCCGCATATCTTTTATGATTTATCTGTCTTTTATAACTTGTTGATTTGGGATTTATATGTTGTTTCTAGAGAACTTCATTTTTTATTTTACTTTAACTTTTATCTCTTATGGCATTAAACTAAAATTATTTATTGTTTTAACAAAGTTTTGATCCACAGATGGTATCTTATATTTTACTTCAATATCTATACATTCTTTCCTAAATAATGTAAGTTTACAATAATGTAATCACATGCATAGAGACAACTTAATACTCAACTTATTTGATTGATATTTTTATACAACATAAAAGAATCATATTTTACTTGAACATACATTTGGCTAACAAAAACAAAGCATAAGTGAAAAAACTTAGTTGATATAATTTTAATAAAACTATTGAATTTTTAAAAATAATTTTTTAAACAAGATGAAGCCAATAACCTGAATAAAACTAAACAAATATTAAAATTTTGATGTTTGTTCTAAGAGTAAATCCTCTGAAACACTTCGAAGTTTGATAATAAATATTAAGTTGAACAAAATTATAGAAAATTTATGAACTCTTGTTAAAAAATATACGTTTAAGAAGACAAGATGATAATAATAGGAACAATATGATGAATATTATATGAAATTAATGATACATACGTAAAACTATGGGGCAGAAGAGATTCTAAATCAATTTCTTTATCTACATCAGTTTTCATAAAATCTAATACACCATTATCACCAAACGCACCCCACTCAATGTCTATAAGAACCTGAAATAATATGTAACGCTTGTCTTAAATTTATAATACAGAATTCCCAAAATGAGAACTTTAGATCATTTTTATTAAATACCACATTTTTCAGCAAAAATACCTTTCATTAATCAATATGTAAATCTAAAAAACATCTTGAAGCAAAAAATAGTTTCAAAGGCTTTTTTTTGTTATTGTACAAATCAATATTCTGAATTTATTAAACAGAAAAGCAAAATATTGTAATATATGCTATTACAATTTATTTTGATCCACATCAAGTCATCAAAAATAAGATTGAATAAATCTTAATTATTAGAAACTATTTTTATAGAATATATTTATTTGTCAGAATATAAAATGTTAGTTCAAAGAATGAGTAGCATAATAAGTAATTTTAGTCTAATTTAAAACATAAACAGCCAGTTAGCATAGTAACATAGCGAAAACATAAAAAGTATCCTCAAAATGCATATCTTTATGACTTACATTGAAAATCATGCATATAAATCTGGTTATGACAAGGCCTACATTTTATCAATCACCTAAATAACTTTATCATTGTTAAATTTTTAAAAAAAACTAGCTTTTGTCATTATCAATCCATATCATTATATATCCTTGGAGGCTCAGGGGATAGAGCGTTCGCCTCCTAATGAGGTGATTGGGCTCAAATCCCAGAGAAGGCTGGTCGATATGATTTCCACACCCGGCTTGCATAGACCACCATTTACTTAAGTAAAATATCCTCAGTGGTCGACCGATCATGGATTAGAGTCCCATTGCCATCAGGCTAACCATGGTAGGTTTTGTGGTTTTCCTCTCCATGAAATGCAAGTTAATTACATCAAAAAGTCCTTCACGAAGGCAAATTACAAGGCTACAGAGTTGAACATTGGTATGTCATAAACTTAAAATTGGGTTGGTTGTTCAACGCCAGTTATAAAATAAAACTTTATTAGTAATAAAGTATTTTAATCTTTAGTAATCAAAAATTTTAATCAATGCATTGTTTCTATTCAAGGCATTCAGTAATTACAATAAATAATTTCTCTGGTGATTATTTATTCAGGCTATACAAATTAAGAGATTCACTCTTTTTAGTCTTAAATACTTAACACATTGCTTAAGGGGGAAATAAGAATTGTTATAAAAATCATGAGCATGTTTTAAACAAGGCATTTCAAGTTAATCTAGTGATATTTTCACTAATAGTTAGTATAAAATATATTACTTCTTCAACTCCGGGATGATTCCCTTCCCATTTTTCAATCTTATTTACTTTTTCAAAGTAAGCAGCATTACAACCAGTTCCTGCAATTTGATAATGTATGAAAAAAAATTCCAAGCACTAAATATTTGAACAGAAAATATTCTAGAAATTAACAGTTATATTATACAAAAAATGAAAAATTTTATGCCTAAATTTTTAAAGAAAAACTCTCATCAATCACAAAAATTATGTAACATATTATAAAACTCATGTAACATATTAACTTATGTAACATATTATAAAGGCATTTGAAATTAAGTTTTGGGCAATAAATATCAAAATTGAAGTGCATTTATTTATTAATTTAATGAAAAACTTTAAATTTTCAAACATTTTAAATTTATTAGATACAGGGACGGGTTGAATATAATAATGGAAACACTTCTATACTAACAGATTTTGTAATCTTTCTAAAAAAATTACTTAGAAAATTATTTAATGAATTTAGAAGTGCTTAGGTTATGCAATTTCTCATGCATATCAATGCAGTTGAAAGCTTTAAGAAGTTTGAGGGACCAACAATAAATCACAAATGGAAAATAGTTTTTTTGAACACCCTATGCCAAAAAAATATAGCAATAGGTTTATAACTTTTGACACTTATTTTGGTTAAATGCAATAATTGCACAAAACTTCATAAACCTAGCTCAAATATTTATAGAGATATGGACATGTTAATTAAAAAAACTAATTTCTTTTTGGTCCCATGTTTTGCTAAAACTTTAAAAAATAAACAATAAAATTAAACAAAATTTTTGGAGCAAAATTTGAGAAAAATTGCTTAAATTTGCACATGTGCATAAAAAGTTTACATTTTTTTCTAATTTTGTAGTAAATCGCATTTGGCAACCTTAAAAAAAGTATGATTGAAATTTCTTGAAAATCTATGAAGTTTCAAGCAATTTTAGTAGTTTCTGTACTTTTTAAAAGAAAGCTCAAAATAAGGGTTTTCCCCAAATTTCATTTTGTAATATTAAACAAGATTTACTAAAAATGACACCAGCATTGTTGGGGATCATACCCCATAAAAGTATTTCTTTTACATGTTTTCTTTCCTTATACAATCACATTTTGGTGTATAAGCGTTTATTGTAAGGTATTATCATTTGTTATTAAATTTTGTTTTACAATGAAAATTTTTTTTGAAGAAAACCACTTATTTTGAGCTTTCTTTTAAAAAGTACAAAAACTACTTGAGACTTTTAAAATTTTTAGGATATTCAAATTGGACATTTTCATTAGCTGTCAAATACAATTGACTATAAAATTTTGAAAAACAATGCTATAATTTTTCCGTGCAAGAGCAGTATAAAAGTACTTTCATTACTTATATACTGCACAGTTTTAAACGAATTTTTTCAAATTTTAAAGCAAAGGTTTGGCAATTAATTTTAAAATGCTCTAAAAAGTTTGTTTAGTTTTATAGAATATTTTTAAAGTTATAGCAAACAAAAGTAAGACAAAAAAAATTTGTTTGATTTTATAAAATGTCTATATTTCCATAAATATTTAAGATAGGCTTACAAAATTTTATACAATTATATTGCAAATAATAACCAAAATAATTGTTACAAATTATAAATGTATTGCTACATTTTTTGTCAAAGGGTGTTCAAATACACTATTTTCCGTTTGTAATTTATTGGTGGACCCTCAAACCTCCAAAAGCTTTAAATTCCATAGATATGTACGAGGGATTACATGATCTAAATACTTCTGAAGTTATAAAATGATTCTTTAAGTATTTCTTCAAAAGATGAAAAAATGTATCAGTGAGCCCTGCAGTTTATCTCAGGTCTTTTGTTAATCAAAATAAACTTCATAATTACCAAGAAATTTTTTTTAGAAAATATAATAAAAGATCAGAGCAGTTTAAATTTCTAAAAGAAAAAAAAAGTAATCTTGGTAAATATCTCTTAAAATTGTAGCGTTAAATAGAATTTTTATAATTAGAATGCATTAAAAAATTTTAAGAATTGTGTGCCAAGTCCAGAAAATTAATTAAGAGATATTCCAAGAAAAAGTTATTCATTATTCTGCCAAAATATGATTTAAAATACTATTTAAATATCCCAAAATTCATACTCGCAAAATTATTTAAAATCATTGCTTTAAATGTCAATCACAATACTGTCAATAAATACCAGAAATTTATCTTAATTTTTTTTTGAGTAGACTAAAAGCCCAAATTGCAAATTATTTAATCAAATTCTCTCGCCATTAAATATGCAACTCAATGCAACATTAATAACCCACAATATGTATACTATTTTAATGATAAAACTAAATACATTACATAGTATATTACCAAGAATCAATCCTACTGCAGCTCTTTTATCAAGATAAGATCCCATCATCATAGTGCCTGTAGCATCATTGACAACAGCTACAACATCAACAGCCACATCCTTCAAAAAGTGGTTAAAATTTGAAGCATAAACTTTAGCAAAATATTAACATAAAAAATTCTAAGGGTAAATTCAAATACAGAGAGCTCAACTTTATTATAACAATAACTTATTTAGAGTTTAGAAACCATAAGTGAAATGTGTAGAAAATTCAAAAGTGGTAATTTGTTTTATATACTAAAATAATGTATACTCAATATCTATTTAATAATTTAACTTTGAGGGGAAATTTAAAGTGTATTAGATGAGAACCAAAAATTTTTATTAAAAGAAAATCCAGTTATTTTAACAACCTGTTAAAAGTCAATATGAAATTGAAACATTGATGTAAAATAATTTATTCAGATAATTAGCTGAATTAGCAAATTAATTTCATAAAATGTAATTTGAAAAAACTGTTGTTTTAATAAGTTATTCATAAAAGATAATTAAATTATTAATGTAAGATTATAAAGGGAAATTTCAAAAAAATTATTTAGGATGGAGGAAATAATTGTGTAAAAGATATATGTATATTTTTATTTGTTCAGTATGCACCTAACAGAAATTTATATAGTTGAAAAGCATTTCTTTTATTGTTTTTTGCTTTTGTTTGTTAGTATCTTCTTAAAGCAATATTTTCACACTTGTTTTTATTACTTTTCGTGTGGCTTGAATAAATATCAGATTATTCTGATATAAATCAGCAATTAAAAATACAACCTCTGAATAAAACAGGATTATTTAATGACTAGTTTACACAAAATATAGAACATAAATAGAGAAAAAAAATCTTTACAACTATACAAGTTTAATTATTGTAAAGTAGTAAAAATATATATGAAATTTTAAAAATTATTCAAAATATAATACTAAAGATATAATAATCCAAAAAAGAAAAAAAAAATATTAAAACATTTTTGTCACTAAAACATACATAAATATTTAATGTTCTATTTCAAGGATATTTTGATGCTGTTTCAGAGAAGTCATTGTGTCATTAAATAAAGTAAACTGTAAAATAAATCAATAACCTTTCTCCGTGCTAAAGCAGCTTTGAGCATTTTTACAACTTCATGCCCTACAACATTTTTACAGTTGAAAGATTTAGTCCATGTAACTAATATTCCTTCATCTATGCTTGTTTGTATCATGGGAAAAGAAAAACAAAATCCTAATGAAAGGGGAAAAAAACAAAAATGTAAAGAAAATATAGCTGAAAATAAAACATCTTCTTAAAATAAATTTTCATACTGATTTCAGATTACTATTATTTAGGATAAAAAAAACATTAAAAAATTCATCCTGACAGTTATAAAAGGAAAACCAAATTAAAAAGAGAAAAAGAAATAAATAGTGATAATATAGTAAAGAAGCGTAAAAAGAAAATGAATCTTAAATATGTTTCATGAATATAAAATTCAACTGTACAATTTTTATTTACTATTCTGCTTTTCCTTTTTTAAAGACAGATGCAAATCAGAATTCTTTTTAACAAAGAAACAGGTTCTACAAAAATAATAAATGAATTAATATCACAAAATATTACATGTCCATGCTTTTCTATATTAAATAGCCTTTTCCCTATCTTCTTACCAAATGCTGATGATGAATACAGATACATCCCTGTACACCTTTCCAGCAATAATCAATAACCATGATGAGAAGCTATTAAGATCTCTCAATATTACGAAAGTTTAAAAGCGATCGTCTTTTTATTGTTGAAACTACATGAATATTTTCAATGGCCATCACAGTAAGACTTTTAAAGCTCAAACTTAGGAAGGTGTTAAAATAAAGTCTGCAAAAAATAGTATACTTTGTGCCAGATGTAAACTAGTAACTGAAGTTATTACAATGCTAACAAGACATAAATATTATGTTAGAGACATAAAGACAAGGATAAATATAATGTTAGAGACATAAATTTTGATAATAAACAATTAAGGATGACAATTCGTTTTGAAAAAGACTAAAACTAAGACATTTTTTTTAAAAAAATAGCTAATTCATTTATAAGTTCAAAAATGTAGAAAAAAAATCATAAAATTAAAATAAGAAATAAAGAGCAAAAGCTAAATAGAATATTTCTGTTTAGTGTATTTTAAGATAATGTGTTTTCCAAAATAGTAGCAATGTGGCCCACCACCAAAAATTTTTGGGGAAAAAGAATTTAAATAACCATTTTAAAAAATTGTTGCCAACCACTGCTTTAAATGAAAAAAAAGTATAAAGAGTAACTTTTTAAAAGTATAAAGAGTGAAAATAAAGTAACATCTACAATGCAACGGAATAGGAAAAATACCTAAAGGCAATCGTTTCTTTATCAAGTTGTTAGCTTCCAGAAAATCAAAAATACAGTCTGCTAAAAATTCAAACAGCTGTAAAAGAAAAAAAGCATTTTAAAATGATATTCGGATTTTAGAAAGAAAAAAAAATATTTTATCAGCCATTCAAATGTATAGCTTAATATAGGGTGTCCTGCAAAATGATTATCAATTTGAAAATTAAACAGATAACAAAAGGCGATATGTTGCTTATATAATTGGGCAACTTATTTTTCAGAAGTTGTATAATTATTTCCAAAGTCAATTCAGTTCAATTGGTCAGATGGCATTCCTGACTGAAAAGAACTATAAAGCAATGTTTTCTAGCTGCATGTCAGGCCACTCATTACGAATTAATTACGTACACAGCTATTATTATAATTTTGTCCTGAGACTAAGCTACATTGTTGCTGCAGACGTTCTTTATTTTGAAAACTCAGTTTTAGAGTTTTCCCCACTTAACAACACTATTTGTTAATTAACATTGAAACTTGTTGAGAATTAACTGTTTGGTTTCTTAAACAGAATGAGGCAAACTACAGATTTTTATCTCCTTTTGTTTTTTTTAGTTTATTTTTTAAATCATCTAACATTTTTGACACCATCAAGCATCAATAATAACAATTAAATATAAGAGAGACCAAATTTTAATAAGGGCAATATTTAATTACAACTGATACAAAAGAGCCTAGGAGCAGAATATTTCAAGTTTTACAACAAAACTTCCAATAATTACAAATGTACTGTGGGCATCATAAAAAATTACGAAATTTTTTTGAAATGACAAATAATTTTATTTTTAAAAAAGTAATTTTTCTTAATTAGTTAAATATTCAGAGTTCACAACATCTACTGTGTTGCAACATAAAAGGAAATAGCGGTTTCAATCATTTCTTTGAAACTTTTGTTGTACCCAATTCAAACTCTCCTTTCATTTATCAATTACTGCCATACATTTGAATTCCTTTTCAATCACTAACATCTAAATTGTCAAATTCACTACACCATGATTAACATCTTGATACGTTAACAATTTCTATAGTAACCTTATGTAGATGCAGGACAAAAAATCCTGATAGCCCTCTATGGAGGTAAGATGATTATAAACAAATTTTTGAAATCTTTTGCCAAAACCAAGTTCAATTTGACTTGATCACTTTGTATGGTAGAAGCTGCTGGTCAACACTGAGAGTTTAGCTGCAAATTTAAATATGATTATGAAATACACTGAATCTATTAAATTGAGGTTGGTAAAATACTAAATATGAAACACTATCCCCTATTCTTACAAATATTTTACTTTTTTCAATTTAACTTAAACACTTCAAGTAAAGGCCGGCCAGGTGGCCGAGTGGTTAGCGTGCCTGACTGCGAAGCCAATGGCTGCGGGTTCGAATCCCGCTCTGGGCATGGATGTTTCTCTCTCTCTCTGTGTTGTCTTCTGATGTGTGAATGTATGAATGTGGCCCACCCTATGAACGGGTATTTGTGGCAGTGTGGCGTGGGTAATGTTGCTCGCCTCCATGACTTTGGTTCACAGGTGCCCACTGCAGGGTTTCCGCTACGGTAGCTTTTTTCGCAAAATGCGAAAAGACCCCTCAAAAATGCTAAAATTCAACAAAGCATTTTCGCATTTTTGCTAAAGGATTTTACTAAATTCCATTAAAAAAAAGCTTCCGCGAAAAACCATGACGCTAACATCCATGAAAAAAACTTGATCAAACAAGGAGAAAAAATCTAAATATCTTTCGCAAGAAGAACCATGACGCTAGCGTTCACGAAAAAAACGTGATCAAACGAGATGAAGCATAGCGATCAACAAAAATGGCT